TTGTAAAAAAAAAATCTAACTATACAGTTGAAATAGATAATTAGTCTTTATTGTTCACTCTGAAATATTACAGATTATTCATTATTAAACTCATCTGTATTTACATCTGTCCCATCCGTGTTCCTGTAATGAAGCAGCTTTTCTTGCATGCCTGTGTATCGGTTTGAAGGATGGAATATAGCAGCAAAATTACAGGGTACAGAATCATAACATAATAATTTCCAAAAATGGCAGCGCATGAGGGTTATCTTGGGTATTCTATAATAATCATGATACTGTTCATATTTATGGGCTACGGTTATTGTTTCCCATTATGGCTTATTGGCCATTATGAGTATCATAAAAAATATTTTCATTCTAATTAACGCGCACAAATATACGTCGTATGGTCCCGGCGTAAAATGTGAGAGGTGACTAAAGCAATTTAATGATCGAGGTATGGGCAGCAGCATCCCTCTTTAAACATCACCAAAACTTAACTGTAGTTGCCAATGCGCTTTCCAAGCGTGGCAACTACTGGCAAAATACTCCAATAAGATAAGGCCTATGTTCAGCAGTGGATAGTTAACTGATATGGTATATGGTAACGCGTATAAAGCCGGGAAACATTGCTAGTTTATTAATAAATATGATGTTTATAGTATTCCAAATCTATATTATTCTACATCTATCGACCGTTAGCTTGTTTATCTTTCAGGCTTGGCAATCGCAGTTATATTTAAAGAGGGGCATTGCTACCTATCCCCCGACCAATAAATACCTTTAGTCCCCTTTTATGACACCTACGAGAAAGGAGTGCCCATTTTATATCAGAACCAAACACTTGACATATATCAACCTTTAAAGCCAGAGAAGGGTTTTTAAAATCGGTAGCGCCTGTCAACTATTATACCGTTATTAGAATGCAAAGGTCACTCCGACAAAAGCTTTATCTGTAGGGACAGTGACGTAGGCGGCTGTTCTCCGAATGAGAGACGAATATGTACCAATTGTATAATTCACTTGCTCTATCCCTCATTTATCCTCGTGTGAATTAAAAAAAAAACATTCCGATATAAAGGCTCTGTAATAATTCGATCTGGTCATCTGAAATCCATCTGTGAATTGTTAGTAATGGAGAATAAATGTGTCATTATATGGTGTCTCACAACCCCATAACCAGCAATATACCCTTATCAGGTCATTCTCCTAGAAACTACCGAGATTAATTTTTGTCGAATTCTTCATAATAAGGCCAACTGAACTACATACATTCTCGCCTATTGTCTCTTACTGGTACTCCATCAGCATATTCAGTTAGCGCAGGCGGGGATACCATTCCATTTTCACCCATTAAAAAAGAAACTCAACCATTACTGTTAACGTAACTAATTCCAACTTAGGATCATCTCCCCGTTGGGTGGTTTTACTAGTAGTTTAGTGATTTTTTAAAAGGAGCACTGCTGTCTATCTCTCGACCATTAAATTATCTTACTTGCTTCTTACAACATCTACAGGCAAAGAAGGGATGACCTATTTATTGTATGTCGGAACTACACGGCAAGTTAATTTAACTTAACTGTTATTTTAACTCCTATTAGGTCAAATTGCACGTGGTCCTCAGTGGAAACCTTCGCAGTTATTTTTTTAATAATTAAAGATTTATGGCACATTAAAATATACAGTCATGGGCTTACGGTAATTTCAAAGTGAATTATATATGTATAAAATGTAACATTATGCCCAGCACATTAGTGTCTAAACTAGGCCTAGCCTATATCTTAGACACCAATGCCTTCAATTGTTTAAAATAAATTACAATGTTGTATCCAAAAATGTGCTATTATTAGTAAAATAGATGTCATGCTCTGTATTGTTCAACTGGTTAATTTATAAGATTTATTATTTTTAAAATTATATAATTTATAATATAAAAAAGTCAATGCCTGATGCATTCGTCACAACGGACCATCTAATTTGATTTCTTGCCTCCTCACGCCCCTCTGGTAGAAATCAAAGCGTTATCATTTTATACTACAGAATATAATATCACATACCACCAACTTAATTTCAAATTTAAATTGCTAGAAAAGTAATAGAAACACTGGATTTTTAATTACTAATAAATCTATCATTTCTTAAATAATTATAATTTAAAGAATACTAAGACCAATACAAACACACACACATACATAAGGTTGCCTAGAAGAAATCTCTATATAGCGATAAGGCCGCCCATTGTTGCCTCATCATCTTGAGAAGGAAGGAACAATAGAGAGTTTTATTTCGTTCATCCATACAATTATATACAAACAAATATAAATATTTGTTGATTTGATATTTCATATCATGTCGATTTCGAACCTGCGACCACGATTTAAAAGGTGAGATATATTAACCGCTAAACCACTGAAGTAAACATATGTTCACTTTAGTGGTGTACGCAAATGATAAGTTTTTTTATGCAACTTAGAATGACAAACAAGCTGACGGCCCATTTGATGGAAAGCGGTAACCGTCGCTTATAGGTATGAGCAGTACTATGAACATAACAGAGTATAATGTTTCGCCCATGATACCCCCATTCGTTGCCATTCCTAAAGACTTAGGTGTTATTCCTCTGTACCCTGTAAATTCACTGCCATATCCAACCCTTCAAACCGAAACGCAGCCATGCAAACACAACTACTTCCCGGTAGAAACACGAATGGGACAGAGGTGCCCAAGCAAACGACTTTTGTACAAAGTCTCTCTCTGGTAAATACATGTCTATAATATGTCGATGAAAACTTATTTACAGAAATACTCAGTCAAATTTAAGCATGAGATATATCCTTATTTAGAATATTAGAAGTATTATGCATAAAGATATAATCCTTTTAAATGTATTTAAATATCATTTAGATGTGTAATATTGTCCAGTATTAATGTTGTGTTCGTTCTAAAGCTGTAACACTCATTATTTCTTAATTTTTTTAATTAGCTATTATTTTTTTTATCTCCACCAATTCACAATTCCTATCAGACATGCAAAGGTTGACTGGAAGAGATCCCTTTTATAGGATAAGTACGCCATTGTACTCATTCTTTCAAGAACTCTATATCTTATAATTTAAGACTTTACTGTACAATAAAATGTTACAAACATACAAACCCGCGTTGATGCAGCATGTTGGCGATATATCGTCATTATTGTAAATAAATCGCGTGATAAGAGACATTGAACCTTTGGAATCGTTTACCGTTTATTATCACTAACGACAGTTCAGAGGTTTCAAACGTTTGCTACCATCGAAATATCTATAATTAACTACCACCATTCATACCAGTAGACAATCAGTAAAATTGGAAAAGCACTTCAGTTGAGTTATATTTTTTTTATTGCGTTCAGTCATGATCATTTCAAAAGTTACTTTGTAGTATGATCAGTTATACTCGAGTCTTTTCTATAAAAATATATATACTGACGCTTATAATCCATAATGAGGTAGTCAGAGGAATTTGTAACATGGCCATATTTTATTAGTAACAGGAGACGAACTTACAACCAGCATTCGGATTAATTTCCACGTTAATATCCATAATTCCGTCAGCGTGTTTGCTATTATAAGTCGCATATAAGTTCATATTGTAAGCAAATTACATTTCATTGAAAATTTATCACTTTTAATTTATCTCACAACCTTTGTATAATATGTATAATAATTAAATTATCTAATGGTTGTATATTTTCAAATTAGAAACAATAAAAGTTGACAGCAAATACCACTTGTAATTGTTAAAAATTCAAAATTATTCTTTAAATACATCTCACAACTTTAAATGACGATGATGAAAGTATTTAAATATTTATTTATTTAAACTTTATTGTCCAATAAAATGTAGTACTGACAACGGATTTATTACCAACAGGTATACTTTAGGATATGCAGAGACACTCGATGGTGGTTTAAAAAATATAATTATGTATATTTTAGTATACAAACATTCATAAAATAAACATACACAGTAAAATGGTATTTATATATTTATATCATGTATCTTTAAATCAAATCCCTAAGAATTCCATCCAAATATCGCTTTTAATGCTAAAAATTGGAACTCTATGATGTAGCGAATTATGATTCGTTTGAAGTCATCTCACAACCCTTGAGCTTGTATCATAATGATGAAAGAATCTAATTGTTATTTATCATAAAAAGGCTAAGTTAAAGCCACAAAAATTCTTCCAAATATCGCTTCTAATTGCTACCAATTGGAATCCTATAACGTGAGTAAATTGAGAATTTTTCCTCAACAATTCATTCTTTATCGGATTTAATTAAGATGCTTGGCTCACAACCCTTGCTTGTTGGAATTCCCTTACTCGATTTATATTTAACAACGCAAATATTAGCTTGCCAGACATAAAATACTTTCAACCCTTGATCTTATTTAGATACTTCGCGAAACTTCTTGGTGTATTCTTATTAAATAAAAAAAGTTACAACCTTAAAAATTATTTTTATTTTACTTTTTCATGCAAAGTTCTTTTATGTGAATTTCACATGAAAATAGAATGCATATTACCTATATGGAAAAAAAATTTTTGATAAAAGCTATGGAAATCTATATTTGCCACTAGGTATTTATTTATTTTGTGGATGTTACATTAAATTGGTATCTAATTAATCATCATCCACTCCCTTCATCTTCGTCCCTCTTAGATGAGGGACGAAGATGTATTTTTTTTTAAGTAAATGGGTTTTAAATTTTATTCATATTTCAATGCTCCTTATTATTTAAAATCCATTATTTATATTTTATATAATAAAAAAAAAAGTTTCGCTAATTTCTTGTTCAAGCGTAAAACGATAAACCCTGGTAACTAGAAATTTTACTATGTACAAAAATAATGAAATCATTTTGTTTAAAATCATTAAGTATCAATAATAAAATTTTGTACAAAACAAATATCAAAAGAATATTATATTATATACAATTATTCATAAATGTTTTATAATTCAAAAAGCAGTTCATACCTTTCAAAATTAATTAGTCCATTTCAATTACGATTCGTTCACAAAAGCACGTTCCGATTCAGTTCAGTTTTAAACCAATCAAGTCAAATATGCACTGAACGTATTGAACTATTTTTTTTTTCACATTAGAGAATAAATTAAAGAAAAATATAAAACACACTGGCCAGAAACTATATTTATTGTAAATACGAATTATTTCAAATTCGCATCTACAACTTTCGAATTTTGAATCGCCGAGCGCTCGGAACATTCAAACGTGCGGCAGCCACGGCGAAAGCTGCCGAATGGTATCTGACTGAAGCCGCACCTGTTGTGTTCGTAGCTACAAACACACACATGCGTAAAATGCAACGTAGTGATGAGAAAGTCAACACACAAGTGTAACATATTAATTGAATTTCCAGTAAATAGTCGAAACGTTTATTTTTTTTTTTCTACCGTAATCTAGACAGTAAAAGCAGCTGCCAATAAAATGCGTAGGTGCTACATACAAGTGTAGGGGTATTTTATAAAACTTAATTTAGAAATATAAAACCACATGTAGTTTCATTAATTAAATGTAAAAATGAATAGTTTGTTAATGTAATTTAACGAAACTATTTTCAATAGCAGAACTAGATTCATGATATCATTTTCTCATAGTTATATTTCATTGTCTTTTTTTATACAACTTAGAATAGCAAACAAGCTAACGGTGAAATGGGTAACTGATGAAAGTGATAACCATCGCCTATAGATATGAACAGTATCATGAAGATAAAAGTATATACTGTGTCGCCCATGATTCTCTTCATGAGCTACCATTTCTGAAAATTAAGGTATTATGCCTCTGTACCCTGTAATTTTGATGCCATATCCCATCCTTCAAACAAAAACACAGTTATGCAAACATAACTGCTTCACGACGACTCTAAACAGGCAAACGAAGTGTAGGACGACCTCCCACTAGATAGAGCGATGACCTCAAATGCATTGCAAAGACTAGTCGATACAGATTTATCGGGGCCGTTATTCAATGCTGCAACAGCTCGTCGGAGATGCAACAGCTGATACGATGACGATGATTATGTACTATCTTCTTGCCCGCAACTTTGCTCGCGTAGATTTCAGAAATAGGAATCAATGAATAAGACTACTTTTAGATCAACATCTAGATAGATAAATGCGACTATTAGGAAGAAACATACATTACATTTTAAGTTAGACCTTCAAAAATACTGTTACGAAAATTGCATTCAATTTGATGCAGTACTTTTTGCGTAATACTGGAACAAATGTACAGATAGCTAAACGAACAGACAGACATTTTTTTTATTTTTTTTTTGGAATCTATTGCTCTTATTAACAAAGAAAGAAATCAATATTTGTATTCAAGTAAACTTAGACTTAAGCATTTATGAATAGTAATTTTTTTCATTACCGCCCATTCGGAATGCAATTTAACCCAAAAAGAACGGGCAAGAAACTCAGCTGTTGCGTTTTTCAAAAAGTTTAATTATACAAATAATGATTTTTTTTTTGTATTTTTTTTTATTTGTATAAATACAAACTACTAAGCAGTATCAGATCATAAACTCAAAAATATATAGTATATAATTAAAACTAATTAATAAAATCAATTGCAATGACCAAAGCAGACCACTCTTTACAGGCAGCGCCCATTCACAAGTATTAAGCAATCTCATGTTATTTTTTCTTAAATATCTCCCACGTTTTCATCCATTTACAATTTTATTACATTATTAAGATAAACTTATACAAGTATAACATCTTTTTTGTGAAATACTATAAATGATTGATTAATAATAATTGACTGTTTTGAAATTTGATTTTCAAATTTGTAATATTACTAAGGATAACATGTAATAAATTGTTAACAAAAGTCATCAGACCAAACCTCGCGACCTAAATACATCCATCATAAAGTGAAGCTATATCAAAGGCACAAAGCCGCAAAGAGCCAAAGGTAATGCTTCCTTGTTAACATGTATAATATGCAAGCTACGCCGTAACGGGCTACGGGAATGTTGAGGCTACGTCGTAGCTCCCGTGCCGTAGCACGGTGCTACAAATGAGTTTGTTAATAATTTACAGTTGATGTTTTTAATATTTTGCTAGATGTATACCGCGGTTTCGTCTATGTTATTGATAGTTATTTATAATCCATCTATACCTTCCTCAAGAAATAAATGCAAAAAGATATTTTTTCAAATCCGACTCATGTATTGCTTTCAAACAAACTGTTACTGGCAGTTTGGCCAGTCGGTATTTCGGTATTTTCTTTGTATATATATATATATATATACAAAGAAATTTATGTATTAATGTATTTTTTTAAATTATTCTTTTATATATTCTATTCAATCGAGTTCAAAAAAGAAGAGGTTCTATGTTTCACTGTATATTTATTTTTTGTGTTTCATTTTAACATTTCTTATAAGTTTAACATATAGTTTACGTGACCCATACATCGTTCTACTGTTTCTTCCATTAAGTGAACACTTTCGCTTAATTATGTGTAGATATATATATATATATATATATATATATATATATATATATATATATATATATATATATATATATATATATATATATCAAATATAGATACTAAATTAATTAAATGTTTTGCAATAGAGAGAGATAGAACTATTAGAGATCATATCTTTTTTCAGTGACTGGCCAATATATTATTCGGAATACAATTTTATAATTACTTCGTAACAGTAGTATAGAAACCAAATTTAAGGCTAAAAAGTAGTAGTACTGTAGTAATACTCTCTGTAGTGTATAAACCAAACTTAAGGCTAAACATTAGTAGTACTGTACTAGTACCCTCTGTGGTATCCATACCAAATTTAAGGCTAAACAGTAGTAATACTGTAGTAATACTCCCTGTATTGTACAAATCAAATTTAAGATTAAACAGTAGTAGTATTATAGTAATACTCCCTGTAGTGTATAAACCATATTTAAAGCTAAACAGTAGTAGTACTGTAGTAATACCTTCTATAGTGTACAAACGAAATTTAAGGCTAAACAGTAGTAGTACTGTAGTAATACTCCCTGTAGTGTAAAAACCAAATTTAAGGCTAAACAACCTAACGAAATAATGGTAATACACAACTCGACCTCTGAACTATTTATACGAAAGAATGATTTAAACTATTTCAAGCTAAAAATATCAGAATTTATTATTGGCTGGACATGATAACCTTACAATTAGACAACCTTAAGTATAATTTAAAGTTAGCTATTTTGGTCCGTCTTTAATGATATATGACAAGAAATACGCAAACGGCTCCATATATGAAAGTCCATAATTATTTTCTAGTTCGAGAGCTAGTGTTCATGTTTTCAATAATAGATAGATAGATAGATATATAATTTATTTACATTACTTACAACATATAAATAACAACAGATATAGATACATACACAAAAAAAGAAATAAAAGAACATATATACAAAAAAAAATTAAAATAAATAAAAGAAGTAACATAATTTTTATTTTTTACGTGTACATAATAACACAAAATTGTCCCAACTCAATTCATTGCTTTACTCTCAAAAGAGAAAAACACTGATATTCTGTTGTGGTCCAAATTAATACAAAAAACAATATTATTTTATTAATTTTATAAAATTACCTAGACCATGTCGGTACATAGGAAATATTTGAGAACAAAATAGGAAATATTGAAGAAAAAAATAGTATGAGGTGTCTTAATAAGGGCAATAGATGCAAAACAGAAATAATGTCTATCTGTTCATTTGTCTGTCTGTAAGTGTAAAAATTACTGTACCAATGTAGTAACACTCTTTACAGTCCTAAAAACTTTAAATCTGGCGTAAGTTTTATCTTGATATGTCATCTTTTTCAATGGTTTTTCTTTGTTTTATTTTTCTTAATAAAACTATGTCATTATTAAAAAAAATGTTTTTCCTACATATGATATCCACGCATATGAAGTAGTGGGCATAGACCTAGCTCTAAACTTATTTCTTCTCAAAATAACGAAAAAAAAAAAAAAAGACACTGTTAATATTAACAGAATATAATTTATCGTTTTTAAATGATAAGTATTTAGTGGCTACCCCTTCCTTCCCATGACTTAGGGAATTTAATGGTCGAGGAATAGACAGCAGCGTCTCTCTTAAAACGTCACCAAAGTGTAACTGCGATATAAAAAAGGGATGGTCCATTCTATGCCACGACTAAACAGCACTTGACGGAGTACTTACAGAAAATCTCAGTGTAATTATCTTTAAAATTCTATGAACATACAGACGAGATGTATAAAGCGGCAGTAATTATTCAAAGAGATTATGTTGGAACGAGGTTTTGAGATTTACGAAGACGAATCCCGAATTCTCAGAGCTAGTGACGGGATTGATTAAAGTAACTGATTATTCACAGACACACAGCCTAGCGACTTATACATTTGTTTTATTAGAATGTATAAAAATTTTAAATGATATATACTTCAGATTTCTAACTACGTTTTACTATATTTTATTCATTCATTAATTCGTTTGTTTATTTATTTCATAAAAGTATACATTGCGTGAAAAACATTATTAATGCAGGTTCTTAAAATATTTCTCAACACAACAAATATTAAGTAAAGTAAAAATGCCTAAAGCTTAACTGCTGTTGCCAATCCGCGCACCAAGCTTGGCGACTACTGGCAAAACCCCTCAAGGGGTTGGCTTATATTCAGCAGTGAACAATTAAAAGCTGACATGGTAATGATTCAGTAAAGTAAAACCTTTATTAATAAATACAAGATTGCGCTATTACATATTTTTTATTCTAGTTTACAAATTAAGGTTACCTATGTCTTATAAGGCAGCTCCTTCCATCATACAAGAATCAATACTTTGTAATAATATATGCATAATTAACAATATTGCATTTTTTATACCATAAAGGTGGCAAACAAGCAAACAGCCCGTCTGATGGTAAACGGTCACTGCAGCCTATGGACGCCTGCAACACCAGGGGTGTCAAGTGTGCACTGCCGACCCTGAAGAAATCTTCATATATCCTTTTTAAAGAATCCCAAACTACTCTAGGAAAAACCTCGGCAGGGAGCTCATTCCACAGCCTGAGCGTTCGTGGGAGAAAATTTCTCTGAAACTGCACTGTACGTGACCATTTAGGTTCAAGCGTGTGAGGATGAATTCCCTGTCGATGGCAAGCGGGTATATAAACAATAAATGCTATCTACAAGTGATTTATTTTATTGACTTTTATATTTCTGAAATC